GCACAGCAGCCCTAGAGATTGTGACATGCTCTCGTTTCTGCTTGTAACTCTTTTTCTGTAACTCTTTGGCACTCTGGTCATGTCTTGTTGCGTTGTTGATTGGAGGAGGAGCGGGTGCTCGCGGCCGGAGAGCGCGCCTGCACCGCTGCGAGCGCGGCGACGCTCCGCAGCACCCTGTCCGGCATCCCCTCTGCTCCCGGGCTGCTCGTTACCTCCTGGGACTTCCTGCTGTCCTTCCGCCTCTCCCTCCTGTCGCTGTCCCGCTCGCTGCCCGAAGACGCGGCCCGGGAGCCTCTGCGCTCCGTGTTCTGGGAGCTGATGCTGCGGGTGCGCTGGCTGCTGTTGCTGCTGCTGCGGCTCCGGCTGCTCCGCCCGCCGCAGTCGCCCTCGCAGTCGCTGCTCATGCTGCTGCAGGCGCTGTGGCCTTCGCCTTCCTTCCCTCTCGACAACTTCTTGCCATCCTTCTCCTCGGGTTTGGGCCTCTTGTACTCCACCTCCAGCGGCGGAACCAGCTGACCAGGACACTGCCTGGTGGAGCGGGAAGCGGGGCGGCTCGCCTGATCTGGCGTTGAAGGTTTGCCGCTTTTGTTCTTGTTGTTATTCGGATTCACGGCGTTACTTTGAGGAGAGGCCGGGACTTTAGGCTTTTGGTTTTTGTCAGAAGTGGAAGCAGCAGCTTTGGCTGCTGAATCTTTCCGCGGCGTGTGACCAGGAGTGTCCACTCTGCCTTTCATGGCTAGAAGCTTGGCAGCCGCATTCAGGGCCGAGCAGCGCTTCCCTAAAACTTCTGGCTCGGGCGGCATCAAGGGGGCGCTGTTTGTCTGTGCTTTGCTATCCTGTGGCGGCTGAGGTCCCGTGGACTTCCTGGTCATCCTGACAGAAGAAGTGTCGCTTCCCGACTCCCCCCCAGTGGATGCAGTGGCATTGTTTGATGCGTTTTTGTCAGAGCTGTCTGAATTTTTCACGCCCTTACTCTCCTTGTTGCCCACTTCCTTCTCCTCGTCCTGCAGGCGGCACTTGGCGGATCGGGTAAGTCGGGTCCTGCTCTCACTGCTTTCAGAGTCGGAGGAGGAAGAGGAAGACCCAGACCGTCTCCTGCGAGAGGCAGCCGTCACACCTTCATTCTTAGTCTCTTCCTCATCTTCCTCCTTCTCATCTGGCCCTCCCTCAGCTGCGTCTGTTCGCCTCTTCTTGCCAGGATGTCTGTTCTCGTAGGTCTTCTTGTGGTGAGCGTGTCTAGTGAGGGTCGATGAAGAGCTCCCAGACGATGGAGAAGAGGAGCGCACAGATTCTTGGCTGCTCTCACGGCTGATGGATCTCTTCTGCTTGGAATGTTTCTGATCTTCAGCAGCTTCCTGCTCTGCTTCTTTCCCATCTCTATCTTTCGGAGGAGCACCTTTTGGTTCTTCTTTTTCCTTTCCTGTGTCAGAGGAAGCTTCCACCTTTCTCCTCTTAGGCGGTGGCGTACAGCTCTTCTCCTCCTTACTGGACTCTGCTTCATCCTTCATAGCATCTGCAACTATTTCTACTTCACAGTCTCCTTTAGTTTCCATTATTGTAGCAGATTTCTCAGCGGTTGCGTCCGTCTGGAGAGGCGTCTCAGTAGGAGTCTCTTCAGAAGCATTGGTGGATGTGGACGGTTCTTCCACTGGGGAAATGGCTGCAGCGGTTTGGGTCGGGGAAATGGCTGCAGCGGTTTGGGTCGTGGAAACCGAAGGAGACAAATCAGGGGTGGCAGCTGATATTTGGACTGCTTCCATGGTTGTAGAAGTTGATGTAGATCTAATCTCTGAAGGACTTTCTGATGATGAGATTTCCATCATTCTCTCAGCTGCTGCAGTGGTAGAGGACGTTGCACTGACTTCCTCTATCGAAGGTAAACAAGTTTCTGCAAATGTGTTCGTCTCAGCAGACATTGCGTCAGAGGTATCTTCAGGGTTTGGCTCGGCAGATGCCTCTGTAGAACTTTCATGTTCTGGCGCTAACTGAGCCTCTGAAGCCGGTTCAGTCGGTGGTGGTGTGGAAACTGACTGTATCAGGACTGCGGTCTCTTCAGTCTTTGGTGACGGAGTATCGTCTTCAGCAGACGGAGTAACTGTTGCAGGAGACTCATCAGACATGTTTGAGTTTGGTGAGGTTCTTTGCTCGGTTTCTTCTGGAATTGTGCTGTTTGATTGGTTGGCCAGAGGCATTTGCGCTGCACCTGGAAGTGTTTCTGAAGACGCCTTTGTAACCTCCCGAGCTCCATGTGGAGTCGAGGTAACAGCCGGTTCTGGAGGTGCAGCAGAGTCCTCCTGTGGAGCAGCAGTTGTAGTTGTGTGCGAGTCGTCTGTTGTGACGACACTTTCTGTTTTATCAGGCTCCAATGAAGGTTGAAGTGTTTGGACTGTTGCGGCAGGTGGAGGGCTAGCGTTTGAAGGTGCATCATCTGCAGGGGATCTAGAAGAGTCCGGTTCTTTTGGTTTCAAAGGTGCAGGGACAGGGGAAGAGGTTGGTTCTGAAGCAGCTGTAGAAACAACAGTGGTTGGAGATCCTGCCGAGACTGATGGAGGTGAGGTGGGACTTGTGGCCTCCGGGGCGGAAACTAGAGTTGATGGGAGGAGACTCTCAACTGGAGTTGATGTGGCAGCAGAAGCAGGAACTGGTGCTGGTTCGGCTGGTACCTGAATCGGAGGAGAATCAAATATGGATGTTTCAACTTTATTTTCATCAGAGGGCTGTGCTGAATTTGAAGTCTCTGTTGGTGTTTCGATGGCTCTGGTGGACTCAGTCACTGTTGTAACTGTGTTGGGAACAACTGCAGTTGGAGAGTCCGAGGGGACTCTGCTTTCGGTTTGTGGTACACTGGAGCTTTGCGCTTCACAAACAGAATCTGACATGACTGTGGAGTCTTTACGGGGACGACCCCTCCTCCGTTTCGGGGACAGAGGGGGGCTCTTGTCCTCGCTTGGGGAGGAAGGTGAGGGAGTCACTCTGGTTTCAGGTTCAGGTAAAGCAGTGTGGATCTTGGGGGGCCGGCCTCTCTTTCTTTTACAAGGCATCCCAAGGCAGTTGATGCTGGACTCCGTCTCTGATTTCTTGGTCTGGGGCGCTCCTCTTCCTCGACCTTGAAGCTGCTGCTGTTCACCCAGCTGAGCCGCCATGCGGGATTCGGTCTCCAGTCTGCGTCGCACAGGAAGGTTTCGTAACACCGGCATGTCAGGAGAAAGGTGCGGTGGGGAGTACGGAGGGTAACCTCTGACAGGCTGAGGGTGGACAGTAAGACTTTGGCTGGACTCGGTCTCCTGGGGAGATCTGTCCACAGTGAGTTTAGTCTTTTCATTGGAGCTCTGGGATGTGTTGTCCTTGCTTTGCTCGTCAGTAAATCCAGTGGGGTGCTCCTCCACTGCCACCTCCTCCAAGGAGACTCCAGCTTCGCTTCCTCTCCTTCTCCTCCTTCGTGGCTCCTTCTCCTCCACCACCGTGACGAGCCTCCCTGGAAGTTTCCGCAAGACTTTAGCTAATGGGGAATCGTCCACCAGGCCCCGGAGCACCTCGCCATCTGCCGACTGGCGCTTACGAGGTGATCTGGAGCTTGTGGAGGGAGGAGACATGTGCCCATCATCATCTTTGGTCAGATGTTCTGCTCCAAAGCTGGAGTCTAATGAAGACTCAGACATTCTCCTTTCTTTCTCGTCTTCTTTATCCTCTCTGGCTGCTTTGGAGCTTTTGGAGTCGGACTCTCCGGCGCCCTGCTGCTTCCCTCCAGGAGGATAGCTCGTAGAAGGGGAAGGCAATGGACTGGAATGGGAACGGCTGGGCTGAACCCTCGTTTTCACAGTCTGGTGATCTCTGGCAGGAGACGAGCCTTTGAAAGACTTGGAGTCTTGAAGCTTGGTGGATGTGTACGTTTTGACAGGGGTGGAGTCTTTGGCAGCTCCTCGTCCTCTCAGACCGCTACGGAGTCTTTCAGGCACTTCTCTCGGCGGTTCAAGTTCGGTTTCAGGCGAAGCTCCACGAAGTCGACCGCTGGTCCGCGTGGAGGTCAGGGTCTTGTCCTTTGGTTTGCGTCCGCGGCGAGCAGGAGCTTGCTGAGTGGGTTCAGTAGAAACAGGCGTTGACATGAAGTCATCGTCATCTTCATCTGATGTAGGGTGAAGCATTAGTCCCTCCTCCTTGGCTTGGTCCAGACCCTTCCTGGCAGCTTCCACCTGCTCCTAAAACACAAGAGCAGAATTCACAGTTTAGGTTTTGATTTCAGTAAATGTTCAGAATTATTATTATTTTGATCCAATTCTGTTATATGAATGCAAACATTTAAAATACAGATAAACTATATCATCATTAGGAAGTAGATTTATTTTAGTTATTCAATTCAAAAAGTCAAGCTTGAACATATTATATTGAGAGTGATATATTTACAATGTTTATTTCTGGTGCCATAATTATAGACTTTGATAAAAGTGTTTGGTAAAGGCATATTTACATGAGTGGGATGGCCCAATCACACAGCCACTTTGCTGCTGGCTTGTTTGCAAAACATGTTAATTCAATGTTGAATCATGATCCCAAAGGTTGAATTTATGGAAAAGGTTGATGACTGATGGTGGATCAACCATCAAACAATCACCCAATTCTAGCCAATTAATTAATGTTGAAAATATCTCAACGAATCAATGTTGTTTTTTGGTCGAATTCTAATAGTGAAAATGCCAGCATCTAATCCAGTGTTTTTTCCCATCACTGGTCCTCCAAGCACACTGACCTGCAAGTTTTAGGCATTTCCATAATTAGGCACACACGATTTTAATTGATGGCTGATTGACAGGGTTTTGCTGAACTGAAAACATGCAAGTCAGCTTGCCTTGAGGACCAGAGTCTAATCAATTTTGAATCCAAGTATGCCGTTTGTTGCACCCCTCCTCCTGATCCCCCTATACCCGCCCCCCAAACCTTCCCTACTTTTCACTCCCTCCCCCCACTCACCCATTCCTCCCAACCTTCCCCTATTTACTCCCCCCTTCCCTTCCTCATCCCCTCCTTCAGCTCTGGGTCAAAACATTTTATTATTAGGTGGGGGTTAATCATGTTTCAAATTAAGCACTACATGTTGAGAACAGTGGGTTGTGATTCCTTTCTGTACATTTTCTTACTTGTCTGTAAATATTATTACTGACTGTGCATAATGTGTTGACACAAAAACATCTACAAGTCACTACAAGGAGTGGAACGGTCTGCCTCCCCGTTTACACTAGTGGTTTGTCCCAACCCAACAGCCACTTTGCTGCTGGCTTGTTTGCAACCGGCTTCTAAACTGAATTCCACTCTGAGCACTTTTATGGTAAGTTTTTCAATATTACTTTGATCTTAAATATGCTCATTAAAAAATAACTGCATTGTTTTGTGCCTGTAGTAATCTTGGTTATTTTGGGGCAAACCAGATATTTTTTAATAAATTAAGTCATGTCAGCTTTTGTATATTTTTTTTAGCCTGTCCACCACTCTAGGCCCTATGAGATATTGTGGGATTTGAGTTTTTAAAAATAGGGTGGGGCCTATTGTTTGGTCTGGAAGAGCATGTGGTGGACAAGGAAGTGTAAGGCTGCTGCAGGTGGGCTTTAAATCATTTCAAATCACTTGTTTTTCATTTTTTTATTATGATGTTCCTAGGGACATGCTCAGATGTGCCTCTGTTCCAGAACAGCTGATTCAGATGATTGCATGACCTTCTGCAGCCGTCAAGAACTGCAGAAGGCTGTTAATCACCCACAGATTCAATCCAGGTGTGGTGGAAGGGAAACACCTGAAACATGCAAGGAAGGTGAGACACTGATCTAAACCTGTTAACGACTGATTCAATCTGTTGATTCTTGGATTGGTAACTGGTTAAACTGAACTGGACTATTACTACTTGTGCTGGATCATTATCAGCATATTGACATTTTTGAATGAATTTAATCATTAACTTGTTGGAAATGTTTGTGGTTAATGGAAGATTGAACCAGTTATTTGATGCAAGTTTATCCTTTATAAATTGTACATTTTTACAACTTCAGTACAAATCACCTTTTGCTCTATTTTTCCGTCTCTGGTGTGTTAAATGAACCCTAATCTTCCCTGAGTTATCGTTAGGTTTTCTGGTAAACGGCCCTTTATTTTAAAAATTGATTCCCTCATTTTAACGTAAGTGCAGTATCATAAATGCTACACTATGGTGCAGCTTGATAGGTAAATGTAGTTGCATATGACAACTAACATTAAGGTAAATTGATGAATATTCATTAGCGTGTCCTTATTAATTTGAGTGTACATGGGGAACCCTACGGTTTGTTCTCAGAACTATAACCAGTACACTATTTAATATTTCAATGTCTCTCAGAACTTTTCGAATGTTTATCATCTTTCTAACTGGTGCCTTCCTCACTCTCATTTTTGTTTTTCAGCTGCTGCTCTGCAGTTTGACCCAAAGCTGACTGTCGGACAACAGCGAAACTGTCAAGAAGTGGCTTCATTATGTGCCAGAATGGGAAGAAGGCATCGCAAGGAACCAACCAAAGTGACGCCAAGCAGTCAAACTGGGGTTACCCCAACTTGTACTGTTTCCCTGGTTCATAGAGTACAAAGCTTAAGCTCATGGATGCTGAGGACAGTCAAAAGGAGTCAAATATGTTTAAAGATCTATCCCTCTTTTCTTAAATAAAATTATCAATGCCATTTTGTCATTAACCTTTTGTGCACACATTTTTGGAAATATGTTAAAGAATTTTGAACGACATACCCATGATACCCATCATCTATCAATAAAATGGTGTGCAACACCAGTGAAGAAGCTTTTAGTGGTATGTTATGATGCAGACCAAAAGATGTACATACATCCTTAGCTTTCATTCAATGTAAAAACACAAATATGCATGCAGATCCACATTCAAATGATGGTTGAATAAACACTGATATAGTGTCAGTTATGGCTGAAACCCTAACGTTGATTCAACATGCAAGTCACTGACCACTCTTTATTCAGTGTAAAAATGAGACATTTGTTGATCAGAAAACAGGATATTTATAGCTGGTTGCTCCTAATTATTTCTGGAGTTGCACCAGCCAAATTCTCGCTGCAGCTCCAGTTCATCAAAAATATCTCGGCAATGATCAGTTAAAGTTAAAAGCAGATGGCTGATTATTAATCAGCCACCAAAAAACATAAAATTCACATATTTGTCTTGAGCGAGAGTAGAACTCGGAGGGAAAACAAATCTGCTTCTCATCCAGTTATTTCCCCTCTAACGATTCTTCAGTAAAACACGAGAGAATTTAGAGTGAGAAGTTACTTCTGCTTGCTTCAGCTCCTCCTTGCAGACGTCTTCCAAAGAAGCTTCCAGGAAGTTCATGGCGTAGCGTTCAATGGGAGTGAGCTGCAGACATGCAGGAGAGATGTGAGCGGACAGCCGAGCAGAACCGGATCAACATCTGGAAACCCAGAATCACTTCATCAGTTACCTGTTCTACTAAAGCAGCGATTTCCTGTTCAGCTTTGGACAGCTCCTCCACTTCCTCCTGCTCCCCTCCGTCGTCCAGCGGGATGTTCTCGTTGAACTCTGCCAGCTCAGCCACCTGCTCCGCTTTGGCCTGCGAAGCCGCCACGATGTCCTCCTCATCCTCGGCTCGGCATAGCGCCTGGACCGATCGTAAAGCAACGGGATGAGTCGAGCAGCAACAAGATGAGGACCTAAGGTATTTCTGGGAGATGATGGGATAAAAGCTCACCTGTTCTAGGATGGTGGTGCTCTGTTTGTTGACGCCCTCCTCTTCCTCAGCCTGAGGGACGGACAGCTCCACAGCCACCTCCCTCTTCTCCCCATCGTTGACGTCAAACAGCTCCCTGATGGTTTGCTGAACGAAAGGAATCATTTAGCTGATTAAAGACTTTCATTTTTCATCGACACCTTCTCAAACATAGATGGATGTTGGTACCTCTTTGAAGAAGGCAGTAGTGAAGTTTCCTCCCTCTATCGCCATATCTCCCAGCATCCTCTTCTGGTTGGCTTTCTTTAAAATGTTTTCCTCGACCGTTCGCTCACTGATTAGTCTGAAAAAGCAAAAAAATGAAAACTGTTGTAAAAAACAATTTGGCTAACATTAACATGAATGTGTTTGGCAGTTGAATCGCACAGGACAAATATGACTTAAAACTGAAATTATCAGTGCCATTTATTTTATTTTTTTTTTAAGTCAGGCTTTTTGTGGACAAACAGATGTAATTAAATGCACCACCTGTAGATATGGACGTCTCGGGTCTGGCCGATTCTGTGGCAGCGGTCTTGCGCCTGAGCGTCCATGGTGGGATTCCAGTCGCTGTCGTAGAAAACCACAGTATCAGCCCCGGTCAGATTGACCCCAACGCCCCCGCTGCGGGTTGACAAAATGAAGCAGAAGATGCGTCGGTCTGCGTTGAAGCGCTCCATGAGGGCCTGCAGAAGAAGGCGTGAGAAATGGTGAGAATCAGACATGTCAAAATGCCACATTTACTCGTGTAGCAGATTTAAAAACGGCTAATGAAAGTGCTTCTAAGAACCGTTTAGCGTTTCAATGTCACTCAGTCTTCTTTTCAGAATAATATTTCAGTCATTAGCAGGAGTTTAAATGGAAACATTTGCCAAACCTGTCTCTGCTCCACGCGGGTGCTGCCGTCCAGACGGAGGTAGATGTGTCCGTGGTAGTTGAGGAACTGCTCCAGGACGTCCAACATGCGCGTCATCTGAGTGAAGATCAGCACTCGGTGGCCTCCAGACTTCAGCTTTCGCAGCAGAGTGTGCAGAGTCTGAAGCTTACCTGCATGCAGAGGACACACGTTAGAGAAAACAGAACCTAGGAGGATACCGAAGTGCTGTTTGGACCCAGGTGTGATCCTGAACATAATATGAGAGATGAATGGGCGACAGTTTGTCCATGAGGTAAAATATCATATTGGTGCTTTTAAGAAGGAACTTAAGACCTTTTTTGTTTGTAAACAAACATTTTTGGCCTGCCATGTTATAATGTTTATGATGCTTTTACCGTTTTTTACTACAGAGAAAGGTGCTATATAAATACAATTTACATACTGTGTGAACTCACTATGCTACAAATAAAAGCCAGCTGCATTTATGTAGACCTCAAGTGCTTTGAACAACACTTTTTAGATCTGTTAAGACTGGCAAATTGTTTTGTCTACAGAAATGATACTGAACAGTACTCTATCATTTAATTCTAGGGATCAGAAAAATGTTAATATTAATTAATTAAATACTGAAAAAATTCTATTAAAAAGATTCATCTAAAAAGAAAAGTTAGAGGGACCTCTATGGCGTAGATTTATCCCTACTAAAGACATTCTTTTACTCCTAAAGATTTTTGTTTTTACAGCTGTTTTTGTCTATTAGCAACGTCATTGTTATAGTTTATTTATTTTATTTGGATTTTAGCTTGTAAAGCAAAAGTGGTGGAAATGTGCTACATGAACAAGTCAGAGCAGCAATAAACATTTGAAAAGAAAGCAGGTTGATTTGATTCTTGGACTCTGACTAACATATTTCAACATATTGTTTATCTGTCTCCACAAATAAAAATCCTGCAATGATTTAGATATACAATATGTGGAAAACTGCTGCAAAGTCCAATGATTCAGATGGCTGTCAGACTCGCCTCTCCCCCACTCTTTACGGAAAGTACTCCTTCTGGAACTCACCGCAGTCGTACTGTATGAGCCTCAGGTCAGGAAACTGAGTCCTCATGTTGCAATGGATGCGGTGGAGGCTGCGTGTTAATGGAGCGACCTGACCCGCCAGCGTGGAGGAGAACACTGCCTGCTTGTGGCTCAGAGATGGAGGAGGATGGCAGCAGTGCATGGAGATCAGAGGAGCCTCCACAGGAGGGATCACAAACACAAACCTAAACGAAGAGAAAAAAAAGAAAGCATTAACAAACAAATCTCCCTACTGTATTAGCTTTATATGCGTCTGTTAATGTCGACCTGTCGATTATGTGGCTGAGGTGCTCCACCCTTTGATCGGGGGTGTGGATGGCTTCTCTTAACAAAGGGCTCTGGAACCAGCAGTCCTGCTGCTGCGTGAGCAGACAGCTGCTGTGGCCCGAGCGGCTCCACTCCCCCTCCGCCTTCAGAGCCGCCAGCGACGGATGAGGGCCGGGGAGGAACGTCAGAAAGTCTAAAACCTCGCGGCCAAACACCGGCATCGCCCTGCAGTGGCGCTCATTGACTTGGAAGATGAAGTCGAGCCGACTGTCTCGCTGCCGTTTCATCTCATCAGCCAACCATGACTGTTAAACCACAGAAAGTCAGATGATTGTGAGCAGGAATGTCACAAAAAAAAAAAAAAACGATCATAGAGCAGAATGACCAAAATGAGATGCGCCCACAGGAATCCCACATGCCATCAGGAGGTATTTCTTTCACATGCATGCTTTATTTTTTTGCAGAAATTGAGACTAGAAACAAAGACAATCTACAGGGCATCAGATTGTAGTTCTGGAGTAAGAATGAATTTAAAGATATAAAAGCCGCTCACCACATGGAAAGGAGAGCGTAGAGGCGGGCGGGGTGCCCTCCTGTGTGGGGGATTGGTCTTCGCACTCCCACTGGGCTTCAACTTTACCGGTGGTTGGCTGCTGCTGCCGTCTCGAGGTGCTGCTGAGGGCTTGGCCACAGAAGGCGTGGCAGCAACCACAGTTGGAGCTAAGGATAGGATGGAGAAGAAGGCAGAGAAACACTTAACATATGGCTAATAACCTAGAAAATACAAACTCTACTTTTGTGCATCTTTGGAACGTCACACAGGATTTGTATGATTTTCCAGCAGTAAAATTCAAGAACTTTTTTCCAGCAACAGACATTGTGTTTTAAAACAACACAAATGAACTAAAGAAACAAGTCTTAATTCACTATTACATGATATCAATTTATTACTGCTACTATTAATAGGCAAACTATTCTAGGCAAACTAAAATAAATCAAAATGTTATGTTTTGAAACATATTCCTCACACACCTTATGCACCTGAAAAATCCTCTAGTTTCACTGACAATGTTTAATCTATAAAATATAAGCCCACATTTTATTTCAAGTCATTGGGCCATTAGGAATAATTAATATTCATTACACTAAAACAACACAAACAAATGGTGTTAAGGTTAATTACCTTCCTGCACAAAGAAAGTAAAAAAAAAAAAAAAATTCAGTTTAAGTTTTCTGGGATTTAGCAGATAGAAATGAATCTGGTGAACCTAAACAACAAAAGTTTAGTCTGATTTAACTTCAGACAGAAAAAAATGTGTCTGTCTTTTTATTATCTTTAAATATATAACTTTAATAAATAACGTTTTATAAATTAAGACTAAGTCGATCGTTACATCGAACGATTCGCTTCATCATTGCTCAAATTGTGCAGTTTGACTATCAAGTACTTCCAAGGACTTTATACAGAAGCAGTTTCCAAATGTTGAAAACATTTAATTTGAAATTCAGGCATTTTAAGGGCCTGCAAGCAACCTGCTCACTGTTCTGGCAACATCAAACAAGGCAGGCTGACAGATTAAGTACAAAACTGCACCAGGCTTGCTGGGAAGGGAACACCTGCAGGAAATGTGGATCCAGGGAAGTTTGCTGCAGCTCAGGAAAACAGATCCTCTTAGCATGTTGTCTCACCTGGCTGCTCTATGCTGCAGGGGGGCGGCTGCACTACCTTGAGGACTGGCCTGGGGGCTTGGGGCTGGTTTGGGGTGGAGCTCGGAGGTCTGAGAGGGGCTATAGTGTAGTGAGCCGTAGCGGGGCCGGTACCGGGCCCGGGGGCGCGTGGGGCAATCTGGAGGAGAGCCGTGCTCCGGACAGGGGCGGTGTTGGTGTGAGGGTGCAGGGAAGGGGGCGGAGCCTGGGGAGCAAGACGTGGGGAAGGGGCAACTGCCAGTGTGGGCACGGGCCCACCCTCCTTGCCTGCTGCCTGGCGCACAACAATCTTCACGACTCCAGGGCTGCTCACCGTGGTGGAGGGAACTGAAATGAAACGGGGAGAATTCCCAACTTCAGGACCAACTTCTACGCCTTGGGTTAAATTAACACGAGGTCAAAGGTGAAATACCTTGGGGTGAGGCATTGTGCGGCAGCTTGTTTGCGGCGGGATTGGCGACAGGCGTGTTTGCGGCGTGTGTGGCGGTTGTGGTCTGGACAGTGAGCTGTGCAGGCTGACTGATGAGGTGATGCTGCACGCCACTGGACACCAGGTGCATCACGTTACCTGGAGAGGAAACGGGAGGGAAAAATCCAAATGAGACAAAATCAAACCCCTGGGCTGCTACACAGTTTACACTTCAGAAGTTCAGACTGCTCAAGACTAACTTTAAAATAAGCCATTTCTGACATTAAAGTACAAACATTGAAGAGGTTTTTATCTTTTCTATGTGCAGCATGAAAAACTTTTCAACTTTGACATTTTCAAGACTCTGTTCTCTTTTGCTCAATTAACTGTCCAGCTAATTTTTGTTATTTAGACAAATTAAAACCCAACTTTAGCCAAAATACAGCATCTTTCTCATAACATCATGCTAGTCTCTCATAACAGTAATGTTTTCTGATCATATGAAGCTTCTACCAGCTGGATTCTGTCACTAGACGCAATTAATCTCCATAAGAATAAACATGGAGGTCAACATTTCTGAACATCTGGAGGAAATGTGCAGATGAATCCGGTGCAGCAGAAACCTACCAATGTCCAGATAAAGCCATGACTGAGGGAGGTCCATCACCATCATGGTGGGTTTGGGGAAGATGGTTTAACCTTTTTTGTTTTCTCATCTATAATTTCTCCTATGTCAGATTAGTCAATCCAGTAACAGGTTGATGTAATGAAGCAATATTAAGCATATTTCTCCCTATAATTTTTAGCAAACTATCAGACTTTCAGTTTGTTTTTCTAATACATACCCTAAAAATGTATAATTCTTACTTTTTTTTTTAGTGCCACGTACAGCTTAGTGCGTAAAGCGATTCTTCATATGAGTGAAATGAGTTATTTAAATAAGTCAGTTGTTACACATGGTTTAGTGTCAGTTTGATCCAAGGATCTCGATAAATCTAATTTTAAACGCCTGATAGACGTTTCCATCATTCGTAGCAAACACTAAATCTGCTCTCACACCAGGTTTAACTACTGCAGATCGAGATCCTCCATGACGTCATTTAAACTGTGTAGTTGTGTAAATGACAACCTTGAACTGGGCGTGGGCCGGCTGCTGGGACCTGGTGGATCTGCGCTCCAGACAGGGTCAGTTTGTTGCCTTGAAGCTGGAAGGTGACGGGTTTGCTGCCCTGGCTCGACGACACGGGTCGTCCTGCCAACGAGGCCAGCTGTGCGATGCTCACCACCTCACCGGCTGGGAAAGAAAAACAAGACTAATGTTAGCTTATTCTTTTAGTTGAAAGCAGAGATTTCAGCTGCTGCACTGAAATCAATGTTTTATTTTTACCAGCGGATAATAAATGTGAGTTTTAAAGAGAGAGATAAACCCTAAAGTTAACGCACTCACATGGCAACCTTGCTTGCATATCGGGGCTGAGTAAAACCCTCTGCGGCATGATGCTGCTGGGAGTCGGACTGGGATGGGCCGGTATACCGGCTGCACTGGGCGCACCGGGAGGCCGTACGGTCAGTATCGGCTTCGGGGCGCTGGATCTCACTGCGGTTTGAGGAGCGGGATGAATCGGAGGGCGAGGCGGAGCTGTAGGTGCCACTGAACACACCACTGGAAGATGCGGATAAGAAACTGTGAGCATGCGAATTTAAAAATAAACTAATAAGATTTACGAAGACTTATTTATTTATTTTTATGTTTTTCTTTTCTTTGCATCGACCTTGCTGAACAACAGGAGCAGGAGGAGGAGGAGGAGCAGGAACAGGAGCCGGAGCGGCTTCAGAGACGGGAGAAGGTTTGGGGGTCTGGGCTGCAGGTGGAACGGAGCAGGTGGGTTTGTTCATCAGCAGAACGGGTCGATTATCTCCTTTAGGAGGCGGCTGGAACATCCTAAAGTAAAACCACAACGATCATTCAGAAAAACACTCGTTAACAGGCTGTCAGCAGAAGAAGGTTTACAGAAATTTAGTCGATAAGAAAACGACGACAAAAGACCAGATTGTGATTAAGACCATATTTTATTTTAAGCTAAAATGTGTTGTCAAAATTAACACTGCTCAGAACCAACTTCATGAAGGTCTGCCTCTGAAAGCTCTCTCTAAAAAGTTTAATGAGTTTATTTGTGTAGCACATTTCAAAAACAAGAAGACCCGAGTGATCTGAAGGGTTGATGCAACAAAAAGTCCTTTATGTATTTTGGTGCCAAGTTGTTCAGTAATTTATAGACTAATAAATGTTTTTAAAGTCTGTTTTCTGAGCCAGTGGAAAGACTTTAAAATGTTTCTGACTCACCATGTCAGAAAACAGAGAAAATACCGGATATCAATTATTCATGCCATCACCGTCATTATTTATGGGATGCCTGGCGGCAAAATATAATAAAATATGTTTATTAATAAATCCATCTGACGAACTGGCCAAGTTTAGTCTCTTTCTTTGAAGAACTACTGGATACTTTTCTTCAATAAACCCCTGGTTTGTTCACAGTTCTGTTTCTCTTCCATGTTCAAACATAACTTGCATATCTCTCCTATTCTGCATTTGTCTAAAAATAATAATAATAATCTTGGCTGCGGCATGTACCTGTTGACCTTCATGCGGACCGGTCTGGGTCTCGGCGGTGGTTCAGGGGACTCTGTAATCTCCTGTATAAGCTGGCGGCTGACTCTGTGGCGCGGCAGGAAGATGTCCGCCTGGTAACGGGTGACATGGTGCTCCAAACCGACAAGATCAAATGCAGAAAGGTCGCAGCGCTGGAAAGTTAAAACAGAAATGTTTTTTTTTTTGTTTTTTTTTTTTTGCCATCCTTTCACAGCTCATTTGAGCAGCAAATAAAAGTTTTGTTGAGCATCAATCCATGCTAACCTTCAGAGGAGAAACCTCCAGAGCTTCCTGCACCAGGGAGGCAGTGCGGAAGACGATGGGCTGCGTGATGAAGGGCGACTGGATGGGTCGAGGGTCAAACAAGTTGGGGTGGTTGCACACTTTGCGGAGCTGCATGAGGATGTTGATGACGGACATGAAGTGACCGCTGGCCAGTGTTTCCCGCGTCCTGTGGATCACAGAGAGAGAGAAGGCTGGAGGTTCATTTTCCAGGAGGAAAACTAGTCAGAGCCGAGATCGTGTGACTCTAAAATTAAGCACTACTTTGTATTAGTGTATCACATGAAACCTGTGAAAAAAGTTCAAGCGGCGTGAGTATTTTAAGATATTAAATATTTTTCTGATCCTTCAGGAACTCACGAGGCCTGTGCCATGAAGTCGTCGTAGAGAAACCTCTGCCGTTTGGAGAGGCGGCAGCGAACCACGTGCTCGTATTTCTTCGGCATCTGCTTCTCGACGTCGGCCTTGATCCTCCTGAGCAGGAACGGCCTCAGCACCTTGTGAAGCCTCTTGACTAGGCCTTCGTTGTACTCCTGGCTGCCCTCAATCATTCCCGTCAGCGGGTTGGAGAACCACTCCTTGAACTCCCGGTGGGACTGGAAGACGTGAGGCATGAGGAAGTGCATGAGCGACCAGAGCTCCATCAGGCTGTTCTGCAGGGGAGTTCCTGTCAGCAGCAGCCGGCGGTGGCTGCGATGGAGAGATGGGTAGAAGCGAGGTCAGGATAAAAACTCAGCCAGCAAACATGAAGACGGTTAAATCGAGCAAGTCTGGGCAGTCGGTAACTCAAAATCCCCTAATTTCAGACTCCAGGGGAGCAATACTTTCAGCAGATAATAGGAAGGCTGAACAATGTACAGCAAAGTAGATCTGTTCTAACCTTTTGACCTTTCAACCTCTGTCTGTCATGTAACAAGAAATGCTGACGGCCCTTTGGAAATCTCACTTGTGCGATTTGTTTAGAAATTAGACATTTTCTTTACACGTTACATTAAAATAATTCCAGTAATTAACAGCGCTTAAAAGAAACCACTCTTAATCCTAATTCTGGAAGCTTGGAAAAGTAAATATACATTTTCAAAGTTCTTACATCTTACATTATAGTTTTTAGAAAGTGGTCAAAAATGGTTACAATTTTTTTTATCAATAGCACAAATTCTGATTGATGTATTTTTACTTTTGTGTGTTATGGACCTTTGGAGGAAAAAAAAAATAGCTGAATCAGCAGGTCAGACCTCAAAGAAAAATAGAAATTCAGGAAAATCCACAGTGGTACATCTCTGGTTTACTGAACAACAACAAAAAGTCTCCTCTCTTTTGGTAATTTTAGCTGGAATATAGTCCAGCAGCCTGAATCTAACTTTTCCTTCTGCTTCATATGTCTTTGCAGACGATTCTCCATTGACATAATGCACATTGGCAGGCCTCCAGCCAAACGTCTCATAATGAAAATTAGCGGAAAATAATTATTTTTTCCACATCTTTGCAGCCCGGATAGAGTTGGTTCAGCATTCCCACGGTAAAAAGGTCAACAGTTGCATTATTCATTTCATCCACTAAAGCTATGACAAAAATATTCCATCTATTATAAGACACAAATGTTTAATTTGAATGACAATGACAATAATGATAGTCAGTTTGACAATGAATTAAAACAAAAAAAAACAAAAAATCCAAAATATTGATTATTTCTTCTACATGTAATAAATCAAAAGACATTCCTTCAATATTTTCTATTTGTAAGTGATTTCAATTCATATAAACTCGATGAATCAAAGCTAATGAATCAAAGCAGCAGCGCACAACTTTATCAACTCATTCGTCTCATGTAAAAAAGCTTTGCTTTAACTTAACCTGTTACGCTGCAAGTTTACATTTTGCTTCTATTCATTTTAAGCCACCAGAGGGCAGCGTCAGACACGGATAGAAACCTGTGACAAATGAACTTTGACCTGAGCAGTCCAGCTCAACTTTCAGCTGATGATTAAGAGTCAGGACGGATCGCAGTGTGACGGGACGCAAAAGGCTCTGATGTCTCTCTGCAGATCACAACATGCCTGGATTTTGGAAATACTCATGAAATGAGCCATAAAAATATCATATTACCAGGAAGAACAGAAAAATAAAATACCAGAACGTCAGCAGTTTTTACTCGATAGTATTACTCTTGCAATTAAAAAACTGCAGTAAAAGAGTCGATTCACAACTGTCACCTTATAGACAAAAGAATGGGACTACCAGCTCATTACAATAACTGCAGCCATTTAATGTTTAGAACAATAACAGATCTGATAGAGTAGCGCTCTTTTATGATAGCGATAATAAGAGGTGAAATATTTCAGACACACCAAGCGAGGTTCGACAGGCTCTACAGACCTATTGAAGTTCAGCAGACTCTGCCAACGCTGGGACTTAAAGTTCTTGATGTTCTGAGCCTCGTCGAGGATCAGATAGCGCCAGGACTTTCGCCTGAAGGCCTGGTGATCCTGCAGCACCAGCTTGTACGACGTGATGCAGACGTGGAAAGCGTTGGGTTTCGTCCAGCCCTGTGAAAAGAAGTGGAGAATAAAAAGTGAGCTGTTCTCATTTTTCACTGGCAAGGTTCTTAAAAAAAAAAAAAAAAAAAAAAAAAAAAAAACCCCTAAAAAGTTGTCCCTTTTTGTTATGGCAGATTTAAGGATAAATATGAGTAAAAGCGGCTAAAAAATGGAATGTGTGGTTTTCAAAGATCTATGGTGAGAATATGTACTCAGTCTCCCTAAACTACAAAACTGTTCCTAACCCTCGCAAGCCGCCATTTTGATATTTTTAATCATACAATCCAACAATCATAATTTGAATCCTCCTTCAGAATGATGCACTATTTTGTGTTTGTCACATTGAAATCCCAGTAAGATATATCGAAGTCTGTGGCTGTAATGCAACAAAACGTGGAAATGAACAATTGACATGAAAACTTTCCAAAAGTTGTGGATTGGTCGCTGCTGCCTCGTGGTATTATAAGGGTGTAACCTGGGCTACAATTCTGCTTCATGCTCTCAATATTTCAGCCCCACGTCATACATGATGCCGCCACACGCCCAATAAAAGAAAAAAGCTGCAGACAAACCCAATAAAGCAGAGAAACATCACCTGTCTCTTCAGCTTCCTCTCCTTCTGGCTTCCAAAGTAGGTGAGGATCTTAAACCCTGGACACCAGCGCTTCAGCTCCATCTCCCAGTTCAGCATCACACTGGTGGGGACAATGATGAGGTGGGGACCCCAGTTCCCTAAAGAAGAAGAAGAAAAAAAACTGGTTAACGGAAAGCACGTGTACGTGGAGAGGGATTTTAAAAACAGGCTTGAAGAATAAATCAATACTGGCTGTTACCTTTTTCACAGGCCAGGTGGGCTAACAGAGCGATGGTCTGGATGGTTTTCCCCAGGCCCATTTCATCAGCCAGAATCCCATTGAGCTTCTTCTCGTACATGGTGACCAACCAGTCCAGTCCGATGTGTTGGTATTCCCGCAGTGTTCCATGAAGGAGGAATGGGATGGGGGTCTTTACCTTTAGAAGGGAAAAATATGAGAAAGCAATGATCCAGATGTGAACAGGGTTAGAACGAAGATGCACAGAAAAACAGACCGGTGACCAGAATCGGACCATTTTCAGATTATCCAGCCCTGACTGGTAATACTGACAGGTTTAAAAACAGTCTAAGGAAGAACTATTATTTAAAAATAATGTACTTTCTACAACATGTCTGCGGTTCATTGAGCTTCAAGAGAGAATATGACTTTAAGCAGATAATAGGAAGGATTTATGTAGTAAAGCTACATATTTACGCTTTAAGGCTTTCAACTTGAAGAATATTGTGGATTTGGAAATCAATCAATCAAATTTTATTTGTATAGCACATTTCAGCAGCAAGACATTTCAAAGTGCTTTACATAATTAAAACAAAAACAGCAAGAGAAAGAGAAAGATATTTTGAAAAAGATTAAAAAAGATAAAAACATTAAAACCCCTTTTAGGACTTCAGTTAACTGGCGTTTAACTGGGGCTCTAACCCTCTGGGACTTTAGTTAAACGTCATTTAACAAGGATTCTCACACCCCTAGATATAGATTCGTTGAACTGGGACATTTTCCGGGGGGGCTTTACATAGACGGTGTGAAAGAGAAATAAAAAGAAGTTAATAACTAGATGAAAACTAAAGATAAAAACATTAAAAACATTGAAGACATCAAAACCCGCACTCTAATCCTAATTTAGCCATAAGCAACTCTAAACAGGTGGGTTTTAGTCTAGATTTAAAGGCACTCAGTGTTTCAGCTGTTTTACAGTTTTCTGGAAGTTTGTTGATCTATGGTGCATAGAAGCTGAATGCTGCTTCTCCTCATTTGGTTCTAGTTCTGGGGATGGAGACCAGAACCAGAAGATCTGAGGGGTCTAGACGGTTGGTACAGCAATAACAGATCTTAAATGTATTGTGGTGCTAAACCGTTCAGTGATTTATAAACTAACAACAGTATTTTAAAGTCTATTCTCTGAGTTACAGGGAGCCAGTGCAGGGACTTTAAAACTGGTGTTATGTGCTTCATCTT